GTGGGGAGGTGTGGGGAGGTGTGGGGAGGTGTGGGGAGGTGTGGGGAGGTGTGGGGAGGTGTGGGGGAGGTGTGGGGAGGTGTGGGGAGGTGTGGGGAGGTGTGGGGGAGGTATGGGGAGATGTGGGGAGGTGTGGGGGAGGTGTGGGGAGGTGTGGGGGAGGTGTGGGGAGGTGTGGGGGAGGTATGGGGGAGGTGTGGGGGAGGTGTGGGGAGGTGTGGGGAGGTGTGGGGAGGTGTGCGGAGATGTGGGGAGGTGTGGGGAGGTGTGGGGAGGTGTGGGGGAGGTATGGGGAGATGTGGGGAGGTGTGGGGGAGGTGTGGGGAGGTGTGGGGGAGGTGTGGGGAGGTGTGGGGGAGGTATGGGCTGGAGGTAGTGCACCGCCGAGCGGACGAGGACGTGCGGGGCGGTGAGCGCGTTGAGGAGCAGCGCCGTCCGCGCGCCTGATCCGCCCTGCGAGGGGGCGAGCAAGGGGGAGGTCTCAGTCGCTTCGACACCGCCGCCGAGGAGTCGCTCTCCTGTGCACACCACTCCCCCGAACTAGATGGCCGAAGGCTGACTACTGACTACAGTCTCCAGCAAGACTCTCCTCGCCTGCGCGACGAGGAGACGTCGATGCTGGCCAACTGGACTACTCACTCCTTCCTGAGTAGTGACTACTCAGAGTAGTACTGAGCTCCTCGCTCGCCTGCGACGAGGAGGAGATATTGATGTTGACGACGCGGCCCGTCTTGCGGTACGCCTCCTCGAAGGTGGTGTCGCCGTAGTAGCGGCGCGTGCAGCGCGCGAACACGTCGTTGTCGACGAGCGAGCCGAGCACCTATTCACAGCTGCACTGTTCACAGCTGGACTACTCACAGTGCTGTCGACGAGGCGAGCCGAGCACCTATTCACAGCTGCACTGTTCACAGCTGGACTACTCACAGTGCTGTCGACGAGGGAGCCGAGCACCTATTCACAGCTGCACTGTTCACAGCTGGACTACTCACAGTGCTGTCGACGAGGCGAGCCGAGCACCACAGAGTTGTAGAGCAGCTGCGGCAGCGGCGGGAACCAGCGGTCGGGCAGGTAGCGGACGGCGATGTCGCGCTGGATAATGTCCGACAGCATCTCCTGCGAGCGTCCACGAGGAGCGAGCTCAGAGTGGAGCTCTCCGTCGCGCGGGCTGGTGCCCGAGACGCCCCCTCCTGGTCGGTGTTGACCGCGAGCACGCCGGCGACGATGGCGCCACCAGAGGTGCCGGAGACGATCCGCGGCATCGTGCCCGCCTCGATGAGAGCCTGCAGCAGACACAACCTCCTGCAACCTCGAGCAATCTCGTGCAGTCTCGTGCAATCTCGTGCAATCTCGCCTGCACGACGCCGAGGTGGTGCATGCGATCTCCTCCAATCTCGTGCAGTCTCGTGCAATCTCGTGCAATCTCGTGCAATCTCGCCTGCACGACGCCGAGGTGGTGCATGCGATCTCCTCCAATCTCGTGCAGTCTCGTGCAGTCTCGTGCAATCTCGTGCAATCTCGCCTGCACGACGCCGAGGTGGTGCATGCGATCTCCTCCAATCTCGTGCAGTCTCGTGCAGTCTCGTGCAGCCTCGTGCAATCTCGCCTGCACGACGCCGAGGTGGTACATGGCGAGCGAGCCGCCGCCCGAGAGGCAGAGCGCGGTGTGGCCGATGCAGACGGACGCGCGCTCGAAGAGCTGAAGCCTCTCGCGGTACGAGAGGCTGGCGCAGGGGGCGCCTGATCTCGGGTCATCTCGAGTCATCTCGGGTGATCTCGCGGCGCGAGAGGCTCGCGCACGGGGGGTGTGGGGGGGGGGGGGGGGGGCCCCCGCAAAGTGCTTGACCCCCCCGGCGAGCTCGTCGTGGAGCCTCTCGACAGCCTCCTTGGTGCCGACGCGGCACCTGATTCAAAATGAGCCCTCCAGGTGGGCACTCAGCCCGCCCCCCCGCAGTTTTGCCCCCCGGGGGGGCACTCGGGGTGCAGCGCCCGCGAGTTTGTCTGCTCCTAATCTCCCACCAGCATCGAGGAAAGCAGCCGCATCAGCGCCTGCAGGTAGTCAGCGAATTCGTATCCATCGTTCTCCATTAGTTCACAGCAGCCTGCACCAGCGCCTGCAGGTCGTTTGACTCTCGCGCGCTCTTGAGCTGCGTCGTCGCTGCGCCGATCCGGTCGCAATTCGGCGGCGGCTCTGCGCGCCACGCGTCCTTGCCGTCGAGCGAGTCGAGCTCGCGCGCCGCCGCCGCCCACTCCACCCAAGGACCGGCCGCCTGCTGCCACCTCGAGGTGTGAAGAGGCGGCAGCGGGGCTGTTCCACCCGAGGACCGGCCGCCTGCAGCGTGCGGCGGAGCGCGACGCGGCGAGAGATGGAGCCTCCGCGGTACCAGCGCGAGGTGGACTCGAGGACGTACCAGACCTTGGACGCTATGTTGAGCAGCGAGACGCACAGCACCGACAGGGCGATCATCGCCATCTGCCACGCGACAAAGATGAGCTGTCCGGCAAGGAAGGCGGCGGCGAGGCCGGTCCACATGACCCACCGAAAGTACTGGCGGACGGTGACGACGGCGAGGACGGAGAGGAGGCACATCTGCCACGCCGACGCCTCCGCCGTAAGGCTCCACAGCGCGCTGCCCAGCTCCATCGCCTCGTGGAGCGGGTGCGACGCGAGCTGGATGGCGTTCGAGACGCAGGTGTCGTAGGCGGCGTGGACGGCGCCGCCGCACCACTGCGGCGGCGCAGCGACGGCAGAGACGTCCGCCGCCTCGCAGCTCATGCCTGTGTAAATAGCAAGAGGGCGGGGCGTCGCGTTTCTTGCTGGACGACGGCGATTTCCAGCGATGCGCCCGCGATGCCCGCGACGTGCGTCCCTTGTCAACACGCCGCGAGCTGGGATAGGACCGCCGCAAGCGGCGAGAGAGAGAGAGAGAGAGAGAGAGAGAGAGAGAGAGAGAGAGAGAGAGAGAGAGAGATGCGATGGCGAAAAACTCGTCTCGCCACACGCCAAGGGCTTATGCTCTGGCGAGACGTGAGGCGCATGCGCCCAGGAGGGGAGGGGGCATGTGTAACGACACTGCTAGAGATGCCTTTCGGGGCCCAGAGATAAAACTTCTGTGATGCCATGCGTGACCTAGTAGTGTCCCCAGCTATGGGCGTGTCCACGTTGGAGCCAGGTGTGGTGTGGGCGCGAGAATAGCTCCGCCGTTCATGGAGGCAACCGATGCGAGTCGACTGGTGTGTGTCGTCGTGGTTTCGTATCAAGAATTCTCTCTCTCTCTCCGCCGCAAGCGGCGTGGCGTGGGGCGGTTGAGCATGTCCCTCCGGGGGCCCCTCTGCGCCGGGGAGGCGTTGTTGGAGGCTAGGACGCAAGCGTCCGTCGCCTTTTTCAAACTCGGGCACCACTCCGCTACGCTCCGACCCGAATTTGGAGGGCCATGAAGTTTAAGGTGTTGCTGCGCAAAAGGGGCGGGGCGCGGGCGCGCGCGGCGGGCGTCGAGAGTTCTTTTTGGAGACCAGACCTTTATGCTTTCTATGTCTATCTATCATGCTTCATGACACGACACGCGGTGTGGTGGAGCTGGTGGAGCTGTCAGCTGATCGATCCAAGCGGGTGGGGAGTGGGGGGCATGGCTGGGCATGCAGGTCCGCCAGTCGGCCCGGCCTCTGACGTGGTGCTGCCGCTGCATTCGCTGAAGAAGAGAGGTGCGACTTGATTGGAGGCGCTGGAGGCGATGGCGCTAGCAAAGAGGGAGGTTGGGCCGGGCCGTGAGGGGCTGATGGCGCTGGCCAGCGCGGGGTGTGAGATGCCGTCGTCGTCGTATACAGGCTGGCCAGGTCCGCAGGTGGCTGCGCTCGGGCGAGGCGCGCGCGCATGGCGGGCCGAGCAGCTCGGCATCTATGGTGAACCCCCAGATGTCGCGATGGCCGATGGCGGTCCCGCTTTTCGTTTTCCCGATCATTTCGTCCGTCCAATCGAAGGAAGCGCCGGATCGCCCATGTTAATGGAGTTAGCCAAACTTGAGGTGACGTTCTTCGTCGCAGATTCCGTGGTTTTTGCACGGTATTCGAATTTCCGCTATTTGGTCGTGTGGGTGTGAATCCCGGGATTAGTCAATGGTACCGCCTCCGCGTCGGCGACGCGGGCGCCTTGCGGGCAGAGCCCTGAGCCACCCTTATGTCTTGCGCGGTCAAAAGAAGAAAAGGAAAAACCACCGACGGCTGCGAGGACGGCGAGGCACTTAGCTCCGGTACCGTCCGTACACTCGATCGTGAAAGCGATCACCACATCCCCCCCACACACACAGAGAGAAACCTACCTTACCTTACCTTACCCCCCCACACACACACACGCAAACACACTGGCACTCACAGTCACCTCACCTCCGCCTGCGGGCAGGAGCCCTTCTCCTCCGCCGCCTCGGCAGCCGCGCCCGCCCCACTGCCCGCCGGCTCGACGGCCTCCGTCGTCTGCTCCGCGGTCTGCGGCGCGTCCGCCTGCAGCCGCGGAGAGATGGCCACGGGGGAGATGGAGGCAACCTTGCGGAAGATCTCGCCCATCCCGCTGTTGAAGCCGTTCGCCTGCGGTGCGGCGGGGCAGAGACATGATCAGAGACATGGTCCCGCCTGCCGTCTGCACCTCGGCGCCTCGGGGGGCTGCCTGTTCGCCCGGCTGACCTCCCACCTGCCTCTCTCTCTCCCCTGCCTCTCGGCTGCCTCTCATCTGCCTCTCAGTTCACTTCAATCTCGGGTCGATCTCGTCCTCCCCTCGGCTAGCACGCACCTCCCGCTCTCGGCACATCGGACCGTACTCGCCCTCGTCCTGAAACGAGACTCCGTCCTCGCTCCTGCTGACCCGGCCCGGCTCGGGGGCGATCGGGGCCGCCTAGTCGCGGGCAATCTCGGGTCCTCTCGAGTCCTCTCGGCGGATGCGCCCGCCGTCGCGACTCCAGCGGGCCGCCACAGCGCTGGCCGCAGAGCCGTCGGCGGCGACCGCGGCGCGCGAGGCTTGCTCGGCGGTGGCGGGCGCCGCGCCGAAGAACATCGAGATGATTGGAAAGCCTGCGCGCACGTGAGCGGTGTGTGGAGCAATATCAAATCTCGACCAATCTCGGTTCATCTCGACCAATCTCGGTTCATCTCGGTCCATCTCGGTTCATCTCGTGCCGTGGTCGGAGAGGGAAGCGCCGATCAACCTGCCGTCCGCATCGCACCGCACCTCGGCCGCCTCGCGCTCGAGCGTCGTCTCGCCTAAGGGGGAAGGCTCCGAGAAGGCTCGACGAAGGCGCGGCGCCCCGTCTAACCGGATGCCCCGATGTCTCGCCGCGGCCGTAGAAGGGCTGCACGAAGGGCTCGCGCAGCTTGGGCGGGTCGTCGCACGGGTTGCCGACCACCGCCCAGTAGTAGCGGCGGACCTTGCAGGGCGAGGGAGGGAGGGGGGTTGGCCTGTCGCCTCTCTCCACCTCCCAGAGTGCTTCGGCGGCTCGCGGAAGACAGAGAGGCAGCTGCAGAGAGGGGAGAGGAAAGCAGACGCGCCTCCCCGCCCGCGAGCGTGACGTTGGCAGTGTCGACTCGTATAAAGTCCTGCGTGTCACACACGCACGGCCAGCAGCAGTAGTACATGAACCCGCTCACGAGGCCTCCGCCGTCGACGCGAGGCAGCGTAAGGCGGTATCGCGTGTAGTCGCTCGGGCGGGTCGGCGAGCCAGAGACGGCGCAGAAGCCCGTGAACATCTCCTCCAGCTTCGACGGCGCCAGCTGCGACGCGCGCTGGAGGATGAAGCTCACCCACAGGTGCGAGGCTGCGTTTCTGTTGCCGTGTTTGAAGATGTTGCCGTACTCGCTGTGCAGGTCGCGGACGGTCGCAGGTCGCCACGGCGGCGACACGCCGGCCACAGCGATGGAGGCTAGGGAGAGCAGAGCGATGGGCGGACGCCTCGACATGAACGTGTGAAATGCCCCGACTCTGAAAGTTCGCGTTCTGCCTGCAGTACCCGGAAGTGACCAAATCAAAAGAAGAAAACCCGCGTCCGACACAGCCACAGTTAGTGTGAGAAAAGAAAGCTGTTCCGGCTCCCACAAAAACCGCTTCGCTCGCGAGGGAGACGCTACACCCGCGAACGGGGCCATGCAGACGAGTCGCCTGCGGCTGGGACGCCAGCCGAGACGGGTACGCCGGGCGCTGGGCGGAGCCTATTCACAGAGGGCTAACGGGCATTTTTTGCTTCGCTGCGCGGCCTGGGAAGAGGGTTCGCCGCAGTACCCGGAAAGTCTCAAATCAAAAGAAGAAAACTCACCGAGTTCCGCGCCCCGCGACACAGCCACAGGGAGAGCACGACGAGAAGGGGGAGACCGCGAGGTGGCACGAAGGTTGCAGCGAGAATCGGAGAGAGACTGTGAAGAGAGATAGGAAGAGGCGGACGCCCAAGCGCCAAGGGTGGGCGACGGCTAGCGCACCACACCCCTCTCCTTAAAATCCCTGTGTGGTGGCGGCGTGCCGTTCTCCCATCCCTCCCCTGGGTTGTCTGTTTTCTTTCTTTCTTTCTTTTACACAGCCACAGTTAGTGTGAGAAAAGAAAGCTGGGTTCCGGCTCCCACAAAAACCGCTTCGCTCGCGCGGGAGACGCTAAACCCGCGAACGGGGCCATGCAGACGAGTCGCCTGCGGCTGGGACGCCAGCCGAGACGGGTACGCCGGGCGCTGGGCGGAGCCTATTCACAGAGGGCTAACGGGCATTTTTTGCTTCGCTGCGCGGCCTGGGAATAGGTAGGTAGGTGGGCACGGAGCCTGGCGGTTGGCGCCCGCAATAGGTAGGTAGGTGAGGTGACCCTACCCCGGCCGCCCTCCCCGCCACCGCCGATAATGAGCAGGCCACCCTCTTCGCCGCCGCCCTCCCCACCGCCCTCCTCCCCGCCGCCCTCGCCGCCGGCCGAGGCAGCCCGGGCGGAGGAGCGGGCGGCGAGCCGGGACCTGCGCGCCGCTGGTTGGACATGCGCGTCGGCTCGCCCGAGGACTGCTATCGCGACCCTCCCGTCGTGCCGCAGCCTCCGACGAGCTCTGCAACCGAGGAGAGTGAGGGTGCGCCTCCCCTCACTGCTGGCCTGGCTGCGCACCGCCCCACAAAGCACCCCCTCGAGCATCTCTACAAGTACAAGTGCAAGGGCGACCTTCTCCAAGTCGTCAACGCGCCCGGCGGCTCCGGCAAGACTTTAGCCTTGGCCACCCTCCTTGCGGAGCAGGAGGAGATCCGCTCTCGGTCGGCACGTGGCAGCTAGTCGAGGGACACGGTAGTTGTGGACCCCCGGAGTGTCTGAGGACAGGAGAGAGAGAGCTTTTGTGGTGTTGGTGTACGCAATAACGGGACAGGGTAGTCGTTCTCTCTAGCTCCCCTTCTAGCTCTTAGCATGAGCTGCGCCCTGGTCCGACCCCTTTTGCGCAGCAACACCTTAAACTTTCAGGCCCTCCAAATTCGGGTCGGAGCGTAGCGGAGGGCCCCGAGTTTGAAACCAGGGCGACGGACGCTTGCGTCCTAGCCTCCAACAACGCCTCCCCGGCGCAGAGGGGCCCCCGGAGGGATGCTCAACCGCTCCACGCCACGCCGCTTGCGGCGGTCCTCTTCCCAGCTCCGCTGAGGGCCCGTGCGTTGGAGCACTTGGAGCACTTGGAGTGCAGTCATCAACCGCACATCCAGGGCCGGGGAGCTAAGAAGCGCACCCAGCGGGCCGGATGATTGGCATCGGGTTGCGGGCAAGAGAGCCCTAGCCCCGGGGGTGCGCGTTCGCAGGGCAAGGGCCTTAAAGTAAACACGGGTCCCCGAGGGTTGGCTCTGCGCTCCGGGTTTCCCCTAGTATCGGTACCTTCTATATCCAAAAGTTATTTAGTACCACCCCGGCTAGGTACGTCGGCGAACGATCGGAAGGGTGCCGCCTGCACACAAATGGAGTCCAGCGATGTGGGACCTCACTCCCAGAAGCTTGGAGCTTCAGGCCGCGACCACGTGGCTAGGTGGACACTGTACTCTACCGACCTCTACACCCCTAGACAACCCACTCCGACTAGCATACGGTGTCGGCCCGACCGCCCTGCGGCTCCAGCTACCAGCTGGCGCCGCTCGGCCCGGATGGAGGCGCCTGGGGCGCCAAAAATCGCGGAGCCGGCGACGTCCTCCAGCCAGCAGTAGGATCCGGCGTCCGACCCGCCCCCTCGGCGACCCGAGATGGTCTTTCCGACCCCCGAGGCTTCCACTCATGACTCATCTCCTGTCGAGATGCCCCACTGTGAGACCCGGTCGCCCCACACCAGCAGCCTATGCACACCATAGTTCGGCAAAACTCCACGCGCGAAATGGTGCGCAGCTAGAGAAAGTGGTCCAACTTGGCCCCGTGCTTGGGAGGTGGTTTTTTCAACCGCACTAGTCTGGATAGGTGTGATATGTCCGGATAAGTTATGTTTGGCACCGTCCGAAAGAGAGGGACTCCATGATGGGCCTGCGCACCGCGGCGCTTATCTACCCGCTATTTCGCCACTTCGCACCGCTGTCGAGAGGGGGGTTCTCGCGGGCTCCTCTTGCCGGAGAGGGTAGGCTGGCATTAGTGTCTTGTGAGTTGTGTGTTAGGGTGCCCACAGGACCCAAAAAAAGAAAGGAAAAAAGAAATGGGGCACTCCCAGGGCCCGTGCGTTGGATGGAGCACTTGGAGCACTTGGAGTGCAGTCATCAACCGCACATCCAGGGCCGGGGAGCTAAGAAGCGCAGCAAGCGGGCCGGATGATTGGCATCGGGTTGCGGGCAAGAGAGCCCTAGCCCCGGGGGTGCGCGTTCGCAGGGAAAGGGCGCGAAACGTTTTTCTTCATATGAGGGGCGACCTGGACTGGCTGCGCGGCCTTCCTCTCCTGGCAGGGGACGCACGGCACGTCGCTCGCGGCCCAGCTCGACGCGCGGCAAACCACCATCACGCAGGACACGCTGCTCACCTGGGCCGCTCGTCACGGGCAGGCCGAGGCGGTGCGGCTGCTGCTAGAGGGCGGCGCGAGCGTCGGGGCGGCTGACAGCGGCGGCGCCACCGCGCTCCTCCTCGCGAGCGAGGAGGGCCACGTCCAGTGCGCCAGGCTGCTCCTCGAAGCGAGCGCGGCGATCAACCAGGCCGATGAGAATGGCGTCACGCCGCTGTACGTCGCGAGCCAGCAGGGCCAGGTCGAGTGCGTCCGGCTGCTTCTCGAGGCCAGCGCGGCGACCGACCAAATCGCACAGGGTGGCGCCACGCCGCTGTACGTCGCGAGCCAGGAGGGCCAGGTCGAGTGCGCCAGGCTCCTTCTCGAGGCGGGCGCGGCGATAGAGCAACCCATGGACGACGGCACCACGCCGCTGAGCGCTGCGAGCATCAACGGCGAGATCGAATGCGTCCGGCTGCTCCTCGAGGTCGGCGCGGCGGTCGACCAAGCCAAAGACGGTGGCGCCACGCCGCTGTACTTCGCGTGCCAGAACGGCCACCTCGGGTGCGCCCAGCTGCTCCTCGAGGCTGGCGCAGCGATCAACCAAGCTACAGAGGATGGTGCCACGCCGCTATTCATCGCGTGCCAGGAGGGCCACCTCGAGTGCTTGCAGCTGCTCCTCGAGGCTGGCGCAGCGATCAACCAAGCTACAGAGGATGGTGCCACGCCGCTGTTCATCGCGAGCGAGAAGGGCCAGCTCGTGTGCGCCCGGCTGCTCCTCGAGGCCGGCGTCGCGATGGACCAGGCGGACGAGGACGGCGTCACGCCGCTACTCAAGGCGTGCCAGAACGGCCACCTCGAGGTCGCCAAGCTGCTGCGCGACGCTGGCGCTGACATCAACCAAGCGATGAACGACGGCACCACGCCGCTGTTCATGGCGTGCCAGAACAACCACCCGGAGATCGCCCGGCTGCTTCTCGAGGCCGGCGTCGCGATGGACCAGGCGGACGAGGACGGCGCCACGCCGCTGCTCGTTGCGTGCCAGAACGGCCACCTCGAGGTCGCCGCGCTGCTTCTCGAGGCTGGCGTGGCGGTCGAACAAGTCACGCCCCAAGGCGCCACGCCGCTGAACATGGCGTGCCAGGAGGGCCACCTCGAGGTCGCCAAGCTCCTCTCCTCCTACGGCGCCTCCCGCGCCGCAGTGCCAACCGTTGGCACGCCCGAGGAGATCGCAACCGATGAGGGCCACGTCGACCTCGCTGCCTGGCTGGTCGCCAGCCGCGGCTGGACACCGCTCGCGCACCTTGAGACCCTCACCGCCGCCCGCGCCACCTCCCTCCTGCGCAGCGGCGCAAGCTTGCACGAGGGCGAGCCGACGCCACTGCGGCGCGCCGCGGGCGGCGCGGGCGAGGCGGCGGCGCTGGTTCGGCGGGCGGCGGCGCCGTGGTCGCCGGCAAGCCACTCGCTCTTCCCCGCGTCGGCCCGCGAGCGGGCGGCGCTCCTCGTCCGCTCGATCTACGAGATCCACGAGCGGTACCATCTCGACTCGGCAGGAGCCACGAACGGCATCGCGGCGCTCGACTTTGGCCACTGCGTCTTGGGTTTCGCGATCACGCGCGAGACGCAGTAGGAGCCCGTTCGCGCGCGGCGCGGCGCTTGGCGCTGCGCCGTGATCTCGGTCATGCGGATCGGCTAACATGACGCCTTTTTGGTCAGCGGTTTGAACTTTTCCGCGCGAGCTCGGCATTCGGCAACACGGCATGTGTGGCTCTGGACACTGGACGGATAACAGACTGGAGCGGCGAGGCGGGCAGGTTCCGCACCGCTATAGTACTTCACATGCATAAAGCGCTTATACAGTTGTAAGGAAACATGGGTTGAGGAAATCCGGGCGGGGACGCGACCCACTTCACGCCACGCTGCACGCAGACGGTCCCGCGCCTCGCCGCTATGGACCCAGCCCCCGCCTCCCGCCACTATGATTATTGGCTCGTTGCCTTCCAGGAGCCGCGAGCTCGGCAGGTCACGCCGTCGGCTCAAGCCGCGAGCGCTCTGAGTCTCCAGAGCCGCGAGCGGTGGTCCAACGGCTGAGCCCAGAAAGCTCGCCGCGCAGCAGCGGCGACACAAATTCTTTCAATACCCTAGCCCCTAGGGGTACCTCGAAACCAATGTCGCGCTCGCCCCGCGCACGCACCGACGACGACGCCCCGCCCACGGACTGGCTGGGCGAGCTGCCGCCGGAGCTGCACCTTCGCATCCTCGAGGGCGTCGACGACTTCTCCGACTGCGCCGCCTTCAGCCTCGCGTCGCCGCGCCTCGGCCTCCTCGCCCTGCGCAGCGGCCTGGCGCGCTTCAAGGACCCTCTCTTCGCCGTGGCGATGCGGCTGCTGCTCATCGAGCGCTTGCATGCCGGATCGTTCGTCGGGGCGCCCATCATGGACACGCTCAACGAGGCCACCCTTCGCGCCTACGCCGCCGACCGCCGCGCCAGCGCCGACAATTTCCCGTGGCTTGCGAGGGTGAGCCCGGCACTCCGCCTCTCGTCGGAAGTGACGGGTGCTGGCGCGAGTCGCGCCGAGTACTGGAGACTGCGGCGCGGCGAAGAGAATGGCGCGATGCTGCGGCGGCGCCTCTTGCAGTCCGGCATGGTGCAGCACTACGAGGGCGAGCGAGGCCGGGAGCGGAAGGTGCGCTTGGTGATTCCCAGCGGCAAGGTGCAGCACTACGAGGGCGAGCGAGGCCGGGAGCGGAAGGTGCGCTTGGAGACTGCCGACGGCACCGTGCAGTACTGCGAGGGCGAGCAAGGTGCGGAGCGGAAGGTGCGCCTGGAGTCCAACGGCTACGTGCAGCACTACGAGGGCGAGAAAGGTGCGGAGCGGATGGTGCGGTCGGAGCTCCCCGACGGCAGCGTGGCGTACTACGAGGGCGAGCGAGGCGAGGGCGAGCGAGGCGCGGAGCGGATGGTGCGCGCGGAGTTTCCCAGCGGCATCGTGAAGTACTACGAGGGCGAGAAAGGCGCGGAGCGGATGGTGCGCGTCGACGCCGCCTCGCTCTAGTTACGCAGAATCGCGCGACGGATGAAGGCAAATCTCTCACTCACGCACACACACACACCGCACCGCACCCCGCCCCCGCACTCGCCCCCCTAGGTTGGAAGGAGATGAGGAAATGGAACAGCCCAAGGAAAGGAGCGGAACAAACACGTATTTTAGGGTAAAGTTGTGCGTCACGCTGCGCTTTTCAGTTATCACATTTCTGCAAGATTTTTTTCGCGCGCGAACTTGTATACGCGCGCTCTCGGGCTCTCGGGCACGGGGCGAAGGCCGCCGAGCTCCTTCGGCGTCGGTGCTCTCATGCTCCTCGTGTTGCTCTCCGCCCCGGCCGGCGAGCTGTGTGGTGCGGAGACGCGGCGCATCAGCGCGCGCAACCTCCTACTCAGCCCGCACACGCCCTTCTCGCTCGAGGCGGCGCCGGGCTGCTTCAAGTGGTCTGCGGCCGACGTGTCCCTCGTGCAGGTCGTGCGGCTGGAGGAGGCGGCCGGCTGCCCGCACGGGTCGAGTCGGCGGGTGCAGCTCGTCACCCGCGCCCTCGCGCCGGGCGGCTGCGAGGGCGGCCGCGGCAAGGGCCACTGCCGAACGATGGTGCTCGCGGTGCCGGTCGAGGGCGACGGGTCGGAGGCGCGGGGCTCGGCGTCGTGCTTCGGGGACGAGTCGCTGGGGTGCGAGGTGAACGTGGGGCTCATCTCCTCCCTCTCCATCTCGACCACCACACGCGAGATGGTCGCGCAGGACGACGAGATGCAGTGGCTGCAGGCGCACGGGTACGACGTCGAGGGCAACGAGTTTTCCGAGTCCGCGATGCGGAGGCTCCACTTCCGCTGGCGGTGGGAGGGGCCGAGCGAGCTGTCGTTTGTGGACCTCGCCACCACCCGCCAGATCCTCGACTCCGACCTCGAGGCCCTCGCCTCGCGACCCGAGGCGGCCCGACTCCACTACCGCGTGCCGGTGCACGCAACCACCCCCAACCCGGCAGTGCAGACGTCCGCCACGCTGCTCAACGAGACGGCGGCCGCGAGGCAGCAGGTCAGCGGCCTCGTCTCGATCCGCATACGTCCGGCGCACGTCATGCTCTGGCCCGGCCGCCGCGTCGCCGTCCCGCCCGGCTCTTGCCTTCGGTACCACCTCTGCAGCCACCAGGAGGGCGTCTGCCACACGCCGGAGAGCTTCGACCGGCGCGCGGCGCAGCTGCTGCCGAGAGGGTCGCCCGCGCCGTCCACGCGCTGGTCGATGATCGGCAACCCTGCGGTCGGATCGGTGGATGGAGGCGGCGTCTTCCACTCCCTTCTAGGAACCTTCTAGGAAGCGAGGAGTAACTTCTAGGAACTTTCTAGGCGGCGTCTTCCACGCGGCGGGGAAGGGCGAGGCGGACGTGGCGATGAGGCACGTCGCGATGCGTATCCACGCGGCCAAGGCGCCCCTGGTGGTTGCCGCGCCGCGCGAGCTCTCGCTCTCTGTGCCCGAGCCTGCCGAGGCTGCGGCGGCGCGCCGACTGCTCCGCCGCCCTCCCGCGGGCTGCCCTCGCCTCGAGGCGTCTCGAGGTCTCGAGGGGTCGGGCGGGGGAGCGGGGCCGGTTCTGGCGGAGGACGACCCGCGCACTGTCTACCTCGTCGCCGGCGAGGCTCGCAACGCGTCGCTCCACGTCTTTGCGCACGACCCGCTCGTCAGTGCGGACGGCGTCCCCGCGTCCGAGCGGCTCCTGCTCAACGGCTCGGCGCCGCTGCCGCTGCTGCCGCACTCCGCACAGACGTGCGGCCGCTCCGACAGGCACCTCGTTCCGACTCTCTCCCTCGGCGGCGGCTGCTCCGCCGCGGGCGAGCCTCTCCCGCCCGCTGCCGACGAGCTTGCCGCCGCGCCCCTCGCTGCAAGGGCGGCGCCAGGCAATGCGGTGGCTCTGGCGGCTGTCGACCTTGCGGGCGGCGGGGAGGCGTGCAGCAGCGCCTTCGACGGGTGCCTTGTGGGCGGCGCTCCGCCAGGCGAGGGCAGTAGTGGGAGGAGGAGGGGTGGCGGGAGTAGGCAACGCTGACACATCTCCTCGGGGCAGCACTGAGAAGAATGCCACGACACCATCAAGCACAACAGCGTTGGTACGGCGCCCCGGCACCCCCTCCCCTTCCCCCTTCCCCCTTCCCCGTCCGCCAGGCGCTCCCGCCATCCCAACCTGCCAGTGCGTCCGCTTGCGCGCCTCCTCTGTCGGACTCGCTTCGCTCGACGCGCGGCTCGGCGCGGCGCCCGACGGCTCGTGGGGCGAGCAGCGCGCGTGCGTCCCTCTCGTCGTGCTGCCTCCTCTCGCCGTGCAGGAGGCTACCCTCCGATCTCCCCGCACCTCCCCTCATATCTCCCCGCACCTCCCCACACCTCGCCGTGCAGGAGGCTACCCTCGTCTACCCCTGGCTCTGCGCTGCGCACGCCGAGGCGCATCCGCTGCCGCTGCCCTCCGTGTCCGGGGGGTGTGGACGCGCGAGCCCGCCATGCTGCGAATGGTGCATTCGGCCAACCCCGCCATCGGCGTGTCGTTAGGTCCGGCTGCGTCAGCTGGCGGGTCGAGCAGGCTGGACCTCAGAGCGCGGCGGCGGTGGCGAGCGATCGCTACCTCTCGGTGCGCGGTGCGGGCAGCGTCTCTTTGCGCGCGACCGACGTGCGAGCTCCGCAGGCGAGCGAACCCGAACCCGAACCCTAGCCCGAACCCTAGCCCGAACCCTACCCCTACCCCTAACCCTAACCCTAACCCTAACCCTAACGCCGCAGGCTAGCGCCGCCGCACGCGTCGCCGCCGTCGAGGTCGCCTCGCTGCTCGCGATCTCGTCGGGCGAGCTGCCAGCCCTCGTCGGAGGAGGGGCGGGAGGCGAGGCGCGCGCCGCGGTGCTGGCGGAGGCGGCGGCGCCGGGCGCCGAGCTGGAGGCGGAGGCGGGCTCGGAGCTCGAGGTGGTCGTCCTCTTTGCTGGCCGCGACGGGTCGCCACTCGCCCTCTCCTCGTGCGCAGGCCTGACTCCTTCTTCTTCTTCTTAGTCTTGTCATTGCTCTAGTGGCAGTAGTAGTCTCATCATCGTCATTGGTATCATCATCTCGTGCGCAGGCCTGACCTCTTCTTATTCTTCGTTAGTATGACTAGTGTTCTCTCGTGCGCAGGCCTGACTGTCGAGTGGAGCCTCGAGCCGCTCCAGGCCCGGCGGAGGGAGGGGAGCGCTTTCGCGGCGAGCGGCGGAGGAGGGGCTGCCGGCGGGGAGCTGAGCGGCACCGCGGCTTGCCAGCCTCGCTGCGGCGGCGGAGGAGGAGGGGGAGGCGGAGGCGGAGGCGGAGGCGGAGGGGGAGGGGGAGGGGGAGGCGCGAGGGAGGGCGAGGGGCACCACTCTTGCGCGGTGGTCCGCGTGCGCGCGGTGGCGGCGGGCGCCGCCTCGCTCCGTCTGCGCGCCGGCACCCTCTGCTCGCAACAGGACGTCCTCCAGCGGTCGGTCGCTCTCTCGTCGCACGTTCCCCCGCCCGAGGCGGCGGTACGACTCTGCGCGCCGGCCGAGACGGCGCGCAAGGGCGACCCCTCCCTTCCGGCGGAGCACCTCGAGTTTTCGAACCTGCCATCCGCGCTGGTCCGCGCAGCTGAAGGGGGGGGGGGGGGGGGCTCCCTGCGGCTGTCTTCACGCCTCGTGGTGAGTGAGAGCAGGTCCGCGCCGCTGCGGGCGACGACTCCTCCCTCCGCCCCCGCATCGACGCGACGACGAGGCTGCTCGCGGTCGAGTTCGTGGGAGGGAGGCTGGAAGGGGGGCGGGTCGTGCCGGGGGCGCGGCCACACTCGCTCGTCGTCGCGCTGCGGTGCCAGCCCTCCGCACGGGCGCAGCGGAGCTGCAACCGCTGCACCGCAGACTGTGAGTCGTCTCGCCGATGTGCAATCAGGTGCCACGCGCCGCACGAGCAGCGCGTGCGCGTGCACCACGCGCCATCCAACTTCTCCCTCTCCTTCTCCGTCGCCTGCTCGCCGCCTCTCCGCCCGGTGCAGCACGCGTGCGAGCACGACGCCGTCCGCGGCGCCGAGCAGCGGGGCCGCTGCCCCGTCCCCCTCTCCCTCGGCTCCAACGGCTCCTTCCGGCTGCGGGGCCTCTGGCCCGGCGCGGGCGTGGCGGCGGAGGAGCTGCCGCCCGAGGAAGCCCCCGCCGCAGCGCTGGCAGACCTCTCCACCGCCGACGTCTCGCCCCCGTGCGGCGGCGACGGCGCCTGCGAGGGTGAGTGGGAGGTCGCCGTCCGCGGCAGTAAGCTCGGCCCGGCGCGGGTCGCCTTCTCGGTCGCCGGCCACCCGTCGTGTGCGTCGCTGCCCGTGGCTGTCCGCGTCAGGCACGCGGGCTTCGTGGCCGCTTGCCCTTCCTCGCAGCTCGCACTCGGCGCCTCGATGCGGTGCCACGCGCTCCCCGCCGCCGTCGCCGAGAGCGGCGCCGCGACCGACCCGGCCGCCACCGCGCGCATGCTCGACGGCGCGACCTTCGAGTGGCGGACCGAGGGCGGGCTCGCGGTCGTCGAGCCCCCCGCCGCAGCCAGCGCCAGCCGCGAGGCGCCTCGGCTCGGAGAGGCGCAGGGCACTGCTGCGCGCGAGAGCGCCGCGTCGGTGGTGGTGACTGGCATCGCGACAGGCCGCGCCTCGCTCCGGCTGCGCGCCTCGTCCGCCCCCGACGAGTACACGGACTCGCTCGCCGTGCTCGTGCGCCCGCGGCTGCGGCTGGCGACGCCCCCGGAGCTGCAGGCGGCGCACGCGGACCCGCCCGTCGTGCCTCCGAATGCGACCGTCCAGCTCGAGGCTGAGCCGTCCGCCGACGCCGAGGCGCGCCGCTGGCATGAGACCAGATCATCATGTCTCAGATGTCACACCGAGGCGCCTTAATGTATCAAGGCGCGCCGCTGGCTGCTCTGCGACAGCTACGACGCGGCGGGGGAGCCGGTCGTAGCGCACGGCGCCGCTAGCGTCGGCGGGTCGGTGCTGCGTGTCGGCGAGGCGGCTGGTTCCGTCTGCGTGCGCGCCGCGTCTGACGCGACGTCAGGAGAGCGCGAGATTGCCCGAGACTGCCCGAGACTGCCCGAGATTGCCCGAGATTGCCCGAGATTGCCCGAGATTGCCCGAGATTGCCCGAGACTGCCCGAGACTGCCCGAGAGGCCCGGTCTGACGCGACGCGAGGAGAGTGCGGGGCGGACACACACTTTTGCGCCACTCTCGAAGGGACACACACACTCTCGAAGGGGGTGGTGACCCTCATCGCCGTGTGGCGCGAACAGGCGACCGGGCGGTAGACGCAGGGCCGACTCTGGAAGGGAGGCTGCTCGTCGAGGTCGCTCCAATCGCCCAGGTCCGCCTCCTCGCTCCGACGGCTCCGCCGCCGCTGACTAAAGAGGCGTACGCCGCCCTCCACGGCGACGTCACCACCGACACGGGCGCGACCGCGATCGCCGCCGCAGCGGCGAGGGCGACGCGCGCACCCGCGACCGGCGGGCAGGAGGTTGGCGGCGCGCTGCAGCTGGTTGCCGGGGCGGAGACACTTGTGTGTGGCGCTGCTTTCGACGCGGTGGGGCGGCGGGGCTCTCCCCCCCCCTCCCCCCTTCCTAACAACGAGCTCAGGCTGCTTCCTTTCTCTCCTTCAGGTCGGGCGGCGGATGCTCCCCTCGTCTCTGCCGGAGGGGTGGCTTTCCCTTTCCGCTTGGCCTCCGGGGGGCGCGTCTGTGCGGAGGGCGAGGAGCCGCCCGGCCTCGCGAACGGCAGCCGGCGCAGTGCAACTCATGCGTCCGTCCCTTGCTCCTTAGGTCCATCAGCCCGGCCTCGCAGACGGCAGCTGCGCAATGGTGCGCGCCGACGAAAGGGCGCTCGCTCTCTCGGAGGACGGCACGCCAAGCTCGTACCTCTTCGCGTCGAGCCGCCTCGCCCGCCCCGCCGCCGCAACCTTCTCGCACCTCGCCCGTGCGCCCGCGGGGCCGGCCGCTGCGCGAGGGCAGTCGCAGCGGCACGACCCGCCCGCGGCGGCGCGGGGCGTGCCTACGTCGCCGCCGCCGCCGCCGCCGCCGCCGCGGGACATGGACGCCGCCGCGGAGCGTGGCGTCGTCGGAGGAGGGAGGGGCGACTCCGACGGGTCACGGGGCTCCCACTTTTGGTGGTGGCTGCTCTACACGCTGGCGGTCGTCGCAACCACGGCGGCGGTGATGCCGGGTGCTGTTCTCCTACTAGACTTGTCTCATTCATGAACGGTTGGTCAATAGGCGGCGGTCGTGCTGGGTGCGGTGTTCGCGGGGCAAGGGCCGCTCAGCGCCGAGGCGGTGGCCGCCCGCGCTGCGAGGCGCGAGGCGAGCCTGATCAACCCGCGCAAGGACCACCCCAGCGCGCAGTCCTTCGCCTCCGTCGGCGGGCCAGCGTCGCCGCGGCACCGCTCGCCGGGCTTTGGGGACTGACACATACGCCGCTTGTCGGCACGCCGAGGCCAAGAGCCGCCACTTGCGCCACACGACCAGAGAGCCCACAGGCGGCGGGGCGCGGGGGCTTGAGAGTGGATGTGGCGCGTCACTGAGGGTTTGGTGAGGGCTTTTTATTGAGCGCGTTTTGCTCCTAATTATGGAAGGATGCACCCAAGATGCAAGAACACTGCACACTGGTCACTGCACACTGGACATTCTCATTGCAGTGTGCAGACACAATCACCCCTTTTTTTCCCGTCACAGCGCTGCCTCCCGGGTCATTGTTCGCTAGTCGTCTTGGTCGGGTCGGCGATCGGGAACCCGCCGCCGACTATATCCGCAATCCGAGCAATCACAGTGTCGGCCTCGGCAGCCAACGGCGCTGGCTGCTCCAAGATTCGTTGGCGATCTATCCGATCGTACAGCTCATCGCGCGTCTCCCAGTCCGTTGGGTCGCAGCTCGCGAGTGCCGCCTTGAGACGCTTCATCGTGGGCGATCCTGCATGCTCACCCGGGCCTTCTGCACTACCAGCTGCACCATCATTGTCGCCAGCGGCTGATGCTGAAGCCGCGATTCGGAAGGCTGCAGCGCTCCGCACAGGAGGGAAGGCACCCACGGCGACAGTGCGGAGCGCGCCGGCCGTGGCCGCGACATTGGCGACGAGGACGACGAGCGCGCGCCGGCACAGCATGTGCAATGTGGTTCTATGAGGGAGGAGACGCGTCGGCCGTCCCGACTGCAATCAAGCGCGAGATTTTGATCAAGAATTCAAGAAAAATTGTACCAATATAGAAGAATTTACACACACACACACACACACACACACACACACACACACACACACACACACACACACACACACACACACACACACACACACACACACACACACACACACACACACACACACACACACACACACACACACTCACACACACTCACACACACTCACACACACACACACACACTCACACACACACACACACACACACACACACACACACACACACACACACACACACACACACACACACACACACACACACACACACACACACACACACACACACACACACACACACACACACACACACACCGGACACCGCTCACGCCACTGGGCCTTGCGCTTGTAATGCCGTGTGGCTCCTGTCGTCTAGACGTGGAGTCGCGAGGGACTAGCCTGGCCCTTGCCCCACCACCTCGTGTGTGTGGAGAGCACCCCTGGAGCACTGGAGAGGTTTACCTTACCTCACCTCACCGTAGGTGACGCCGCACCTGCTGAGTGACGTGGAGGAGTCAACCTCCTCGACCGCGGACCGCCGGCTCCGAGCCGGCGGAGGGCGGCAGCGGGCGGCGGAGGCGCAAAAGCCGTCTCGAGGCCTCGACAACGAGATGGTCTGAGGCCGGCCGCCCTGAACGCTGCCCGAACCCTTCATTTGACAGCCACGCCCCCGCGTCCGCTTTCGTGGCGAGGACGGGGCCTTATTGCTGGCCAGCCTGAAAACTGCGCTCCGCGCGCGCACCGCAGGCGTCCACGCCTCGAGCGACGCCGCTTGATCTCTTTTCTGTTGTTGTGTGAGTGTCGTCAGTTTTGCGTCACAAACGTGGCGAGTATCGAGTATGTCGTGCGTGTCGAGACGCATCACAGCCAGCGGCAGTTTTGCAAAATCTACGCGGGCTTAGTGAAGCGTTGCACGGACGCATACAGATCAGTAACGCCAAGCCGTCGCGTGTAGAGTACGATTACGCCCGCGCACCTCGAGTTAACTGAGTGAGAACTGGGTGTGAGATGTATAGGCGTGGAACTTGGAGTTGGCGGCGGGCGCGCTGCACAGAGCCCCCGAACTTCTCACTACGCCCACACCTCGACGCTCTTGGGCAGCAGCTGGTTCGACTGGTCCTCTCCGTGGCCTAGGCAGCCGGTCTCACCCTCGCCCCAAGCAAAGATGGAACCGTCGGCGGTTATGGCAAGGCTGTGCGCGACTCCAGCCGCCACAGCGTTGACGCGCTGGTCAGCAAAAGCCGCGACCTTCTTCGGCTGCAGCTGGTTGTGGCCGTCGCCGTGGCCCAACTGGCCATAGCGTCCAAAGCCCCAGCTCCAGACGGCGCCGTCGGCGGTGAGGGCGAGGCTGTGAAGACCTCCAGCCGACACGGCGATGACGCGCCGCCCAGCGAAGGCCTCGACCTTCTTCGGCAGCAGCTGGCCCTGCGTGTCGCCGTGGCCCAGCTGGCCGTGGCCTCCCAAGCCCCAGCTCCAGACAGAGCCGTCGGCGGTGAGGGCGAGGTTGTGCATGTTTCCAGCCGACACAGCGACGACGCGCCGACCAGCAACGGCCTCGATCTTCTTCGGCAGCAGCTGGTCCTGCTGGTCGCCGTGGCCCAGCTTGCCAAAGATTCCATTGCCCCAGCTCCAGACGGCGCCGTCAGCGGTGAGGGCGAGGCTGTGGCTGCTTCCCGTCGAAACAGCGACGACGCGCTGGCCAGCCATGGCCTCGATCTTCATGGGCAGCAGCTGATCCTGCTGGTCGCCGCGGCCCGGCTGCCTGCCTGAGTAGCGATTGCCCCAGCTCCAGACGGCGCCGTCCGCGGCGACGGCCAGGCTGAAACCATCTCCAGTCGACACAGCAACCACGCGCTGGCCCGCCAAGGCCTCGACCTTCTTCGGCTGCAGCTGGTGCTGCTCGTTGCCGTGGCCCAACTTGCCGGAGCCTCCATCGCCCCAGCTCCAGACAGTGCCGTCAGCGGCGAGGGCGAGGCTGTGGCTGTCTCCAGCCGACACGCTCACGGCGCGCTCGCCGCCCAGCGTCGAGGGGAGGCGGGTTGGCGTGTTGAGCCGCGTCACGCCCCCGCCGTGGCCCAGGAGCCCTGGAACCTCCACTTCCTCCTCATCGTCCTCGTCGTCCTCGTCCTCCTCGGGGTCTTCACTCTCCGCCTCACTGCCGCACGACGAGAGCCGCCCCTCGCCGTCGATAAAGAGGCTGCGCCGACTGCCTGCGGCCGCCCTCGCCGGCGGGTTGGACTCGCGCAGCAACGCAGCGGAGCACAGCCACCGCACGGCGCAGCTCTCGTCCTCTGGCTGCGCCGGCAGCTCGAAGCCGCGCTCTTGCGCCCGCAAGCGGATGCCCTCCCTCGCGAGCGAGGCGTGGAAGAGGAGGGAGACGGCCGCGACGCGAGCGATGTCGACGGCCTCGCAGCGAGAGACGACGCGCACGAGGAGGTCCGTGGGGAGGTCGAGGAGGCGGGTGGGCGGCGGTTCTTCCGGCGAGGGAGCGGCGACCGACATACATGTGCAAGCGCGGAGAAAATTCTTTTTACATCTCGCACCCGGAAGCGGAATGTTCGCTGCCGTGCTGCTTCACTGCACTCTGCTGCGCGCCTCGCGTATCGGCGCAAGCGCCACCGCCCCGCGCGGCCGCCGCCGCCGACGACGACTCCTTTGCCTCCCAAGAGCTGGCGCGCACGTGGGAGAGGACCGGCAAAGGGAAGCGATGCTGGCAGCCGGGTGATGCGACGGGGGACACCAGGGACGACGCGCGGCTCCTCTTCACCTCTTGGAGACTGACGCCCCTGCGGCTGCGCACGCGGCCAGGCTGCCTCGACTGCGTCCGCTGCCAGTTGGTGCTCTCGCACATCGGGCTACCCTTTCGGTGCGAGTCGGCATCTCAGACAACGCGGGCATCGCGGGCGTCGAGGAGATTTGTGAGTTTGCGGAGGCCATGGCGGCGACGATGCGGGACGTGACGCCGCTGGCGCCGCCCTCGGGCCGCGCGGAGGTGTTGGAGTGGCTGGAGGAGGCGAGGGCGGCGGCACTGGGCGGCGACGACGACCTGACGGGCTTGCTCGATCGCCTCGCCGGGCTGCTGGGCGGCGGTGGCGACGGCAGCGAGTCGAAGGTGCAGTTTGGGGCGAGGGCCGCGCAGCGGGCGCGGCTCGCCGCAGCCTATGCGAGCCTCTCCAACGGCGGCTTCGGGCTGGAGGATGCCGCCGCCCTAGCCGCACTGAGTGCTCTCGCGAGCAGGGCCGGGGGCAACAAATCAACTCTCTCTCACAGCAGACAGGCTCGACACAGGGTGCGGACTGGCGCACGTGCGCTAGCACTATCACAGGCAAACCAAGAAAAAGAATGCCATAAAAAATTGCACAGCGCCTTCGCGCTTCGGTGTCTTCAGAGAGATAGGAAGAGGCAGTTTTCTGGCGCGGAAAAGAAACGAAGAGAAAACATACGGATTCATACGGACACAGCCTAATCGACGGCCCATAACGAGGGGCCGCGTCGCCCCTCGTGCTGTGCGCCTTTTGTGTGGTGCCAGTCCGTGCGCGTGCCACAGCCAGTCTGCTGTGAGAGGGGCGAGGCGGTGCCCGGTGCCGAGCGCAGGCGGAGCCCACAGTCTGTTTTCTCGTTTTTCGTCGTTCATGTTGTTGTTTTCTGTTAAATTCTTTTTCATGTACGCCGCGGGGTGCGCACCTGCGCACCGCCCGCGCCGAGGACGAGGAGCCTGAGCCAGAACGAGAATTGGAAGGGGAGGAGAGGCCGGAGCGGCGGAGGAGTTTGTCGGCCTCTTCGACGGCTCATAAGGGGTTGTTGTGCCTTTTGTTGTGCCAGACTGCCAGTCCACAGTACGCGAGCTGGTCCCTCCCCAAGCGCCGCTTTCTCTAGGCGGCCGCCCCGAACAGCCCTTTCTCAGCGAGCAGACCCGCCGAGTTGCCGACGCCCGCGACGCCGACGAACTCGTCCACATCGCCGCCGCAAACAGCGAGCACCATCTCGCCGACGGCGCGCCTGTTCACAGAACAGGAACAGTGTGAAGAAAGGCGCTCTTCACACTCACAGGAAATCTCGCCACGGGCGCGCTTGACGATCGTGTCGCTCGAGCAGAGCTGCTGAACCAGCAGGGCACCGAGCGGCGCAGACTCGCCTGCTCACAGTTGTCTATGTGTGCATCCACAACCCCTTGGTGTCGACAGGCACCGAGCGGGCGGTGTCTCGCCGAGAGGTGCGTTCGGGTCTCGCCCCATCACGCCACCGCCGTCCTCCGCCTCGGGGAAGAGCGCCTGCCGAGATACAGCTAAGATATCGCCGAGAGATCGCCGAGGTACCCGCGTCGCCTCGGGGAAGAGCGCCTCGCGCATCTCCGCCGCCGCGGCCTTGTCCGCCTCGGCGACCCTCTGCGCCGCGAGCAGCGGCACGAGCAGCCGCCGGTCGCCTGTTGTGCGGCTGCCACGGGTGAAGACACGCTGCTCACATCCACAGCAGCGGCATAACCGGCCGCCGGTCGCCTGGTCGCTCCGACACTCCGCGAAGCAGAGGCGGCAGCAAGCTCACGACGGCGCGCCACGGCAAGCAGGTGGCCCCGGCCCCGCCTGGCGCCGCGACGACCAGCTGAAGGGCGGCCAGCTGCGCCTATTCTCGACAGCGTGCGCAGTAGTACCGGCAACATCAGACGGCCAGCTGCAGGGCGGGTGAGTCGCGCCTCGCGCAGCGGCGCGTCCTCCCCGGCGGGGGTGGCGGAGGGGGCGTCAGCTACCGGCTCGACCGCCAGCATGGCCGCAACCTGCTCAGCCGCGGATGCGGCGAGGGCGGCGTCGCCGAGACTCCGCAGGCAGTTGAAGCCTGTTGGTCATTGAGATGCAGTCAGTACACCAGCCACTTGTATTCTGAAGGGCAGCAGGCAGTTGACGCCGGAGCGGGCGGCGTTCTCGCACAAGCAGAGCAGCTGCGTGCGGGCGGCCCGCTCGGCGCCGTGGAGCTCCTTGGCCACCCATCCCACAAGGCGGAGCAGGACGCGGGCGAGGCGAGCGGAGGCACCCACTGCGCCGCCTTGGTCGGCGGCCGGAGGGAGGAGGGTGAGGCGGAAGGCGATCCGCGACCAGGCGACGAGCTGGCCGAGAGGGACGGCATCCGGAGTGGAGAGAGCGGCCGCGATGTGCTCCTCGGCGCGCAACTCTGAGCGGAGGGGCAGCGCTGCTCCGACACCGAAGGCATTCCCACGAATCACTAGGATATTGTTGAGCAGGATGGACGCCTCGCGGGCGAGATGAGACCAGCCCGACGCGAGGCCGAGCTCAGACAGACCCGCCGCCCGGCCCGCGCTGAGGAGAACCGACTCGTCGCAGAAGTCCTCGGTCGCCGTGCCGGTACGCGAGAGCAGGCGCAGCGCCAGGGCGGCGTCGGAAGCCAGTCCGGAAGCCTCGTCTTGCATCAGCGGGATCAGAGCGCGAACCACGACCTGCACTTGGGTCGCTGGATGCTGGCGACCACCGTCGGTCTGCTGCTGAGCAATGAACGTACTCAGCGCGGCGCCGATTCGGGAGAGTTTGTTTTGTCCGATTCGGTCGACCTGCACGATATCCGCAGCTGGTTGCTCGCTCACCGCAGCCAAAAGTGCGTCCATGGACGGGAAAGGTAGCAGCGCTCGAGCCGCCCTCCGATAGGTCGGCCCTACTCGACTTGTGGCGCCGGAATTCTTTTTCTTTAAAGTGTAGCTCTTACGAACGTACCGAAGGTGAACTGCTGACAGGGTTTGCGCTTTTCGTTAATGCTAGATCTAGCTCGCGCCTGTAAGCACCTGTCGACCTGTGTGGAAACAGAGTTTTCTTACTTTTCTTTTTGTAAAAGCAGCAGTTCACCCTCGGGTACGTACGTAAGAGCTTCATCACTGAAAAGTCACCCAGGGGAACCCGAAAGAAATATCGCGCTCGCCTTTCGGTTCCATCGAGCGGCACGTCACGGCGACTCGATTGCTCCGATGGCGTCTGTCGCCTCCGGGGCAGCTATTATGCCTGGTCTGTGCCTTCCGCCCCGTGTGAGCTGGTCAGAAAATGCTACAACTTGCCACAACAGCAACGATCAGTGCAAGAACTTCCAATCGCTGGAGATATCGGTAGCGTCGCCGACTGCGTCCTCGACTGCGTACATGATGAAGGCGAAGCGCGTGATGGAGATTGGCATGTTCACGGGTTGCGGCGCCCTCACCATCGCCGAGGTCCCTTCGCCAGACTTTGGATACACCACCACCACCTTCCCGCCATCATCGCCGCCGCCACCGCTGCCGCCACCGCCACCACTCCCGTCTCCGAGACCCCAATCAGCTCCCCCGTCTCTGCCTCCGAAGACAGCCATCATCACAGACGGGCAGTGCAAAGTCACAGCATCCGGCCTGTGCCTTGCGGCTCTGCACGGCCCCGAATTCGCTGATTGCCCGCCCCCATCGATCGGGTACTCGCGCAAAGAGCAACGGTATGTCGCCGTCCAGCCAAAGCGATGCGCGTGCGAGTTCCGCCTACTCGGTGGGGTGAGGTACTGCAGCCGCTCCGTCTGACGGTGACGCTGACGGTGACGCGGGGAGGACACGTTTTTGCGTGCGAGAGACGCTGCACGCGTGTCCAGTACGTGTAAGTGTCAAGTACGTGCAAGTGTTCAGTACGTGCAAGTGTCCAATATTGCACAGGCGAATTCCAGAGTTCCTACACATCTATACACGTATAATCTTAGGGGACCCCTAGGCTTAAAAGGGTGGGCCCTGGGGCGCCTGCGGCTTAAACGGCTTAAAGCGGGCCATGGCCCATTTTAAGGCTGCCTGGGCCGCCGATTCCTTAAACGGTCTTAAACCCTTAAACGGCGCGGGAGAGCTCCCGAGGTCGATGGTCCGGGAGGCTCCCCCGGTAGACGCCGCGGAGGCCGGGAAGCTGGCTACAGTCAGCTAGCACGCGTGTCGCGTCCCCTATATGCGAGTATGGCTCCTGCCAGTGCACCAGACTTACAGATGTGTCTTCAGAGGCGGGTTTGTGCCCAATAACGGCAGTATTGGAGAAAACGGCAGTAACCCAGCGACGCATGCCGGCGAGGCCGCCCCCTGTGGGTGGGCCGAGCGGCGTCGGCCATCGCCGAAGCTCGAGGGTGGCTCCCCAGTGTGCGAGGGACAGAACTCAGGCGAGACGATGGTAAGACAAAACCCCGACAAAGCGAGTATCCGCTCCGCGGCGCAACCCCTCTCGGGAGGCTCGGATGGCTCGTGGAGGCTCGGTATGGCTCGGTATGGCTCGCCTCGGTATGGCTCGGGCTCGGGGTGGGTGGGATAGCTCGGGATGGTTTGCGTTGAGGGGCTCCCCTTCCGCGGGGGGGGGGGCTCACAGATGGTTTCAATGCAGTAAAAGGCGCTATGGTCAGCTCTGCGCGCCAAACGTACAAAGGTCCAAGTAACGGACTGACGAGAACAAGGTTACCTACGGTACATCGTCATCGCGCGGCAGGCATGCACGCGTGTACAGCCGCGTAGACCAAATCCCACGCGCGACGTAATCTAACCCTCACGCCAGCTTAAGAATCGATCTCTCTAACCCTCCCTCACGCAAGCCCTGCTCGGAGCTCCTCGAGCTCCTCTTGCGCGCGCGCGAGATCAGCCGCCAAGCGACTGCGGGTGGCGTCATGCGCCGCGCACTCCTCTCTGAGCAGCGCAGCGAGCAGGGCGACTTCTCCATCCGGCTGGGCGCGGGCATTCTCGGGTCGCTCGGGCACCTGCTGGGCGTGATCGAGCATGGAGGCGCTCCGGTCGGGCGCGCTGCATTTGTGCGCTTCTTCCGAGTGCGTCGAAGCCTCGCCGCGTGCCTCGGTAAGTGTCGGATCCTCGCTCTCGAGCTCACTCACGTGCGCGAGTCGCTGCACCGCCTCGCCGAGCCGGCTCTGATCGGAACGGCCAGAAGACCGCGGTCCCTCCCGCCAGAGTATGGCAGGGAAGAGCGACGTGTGGTCGAGGGAGCACGAGCGGCCGTCGCCAGGAAGGTTGTACATGCGCTCCTCGGCAGAGCGCGTAAGCAGGTCCGTGAAGCCGCCCACCGCGGAGTCGAGGGACCGGGCAGGTGGATCGTGCAAGTCGTCGTCGAGCGAGCGGCAGCAGATATTCGTGGGTGTGGAACCGAGCGTACCCTCGGTCACGTAGAGCACGCGGCCGCCGGGGCAGCGCACCAGCTCCGCCGTCACGTGCTGCAGGAAGGGCACTTGGCGCTTGGTGTAGTTGACAATCTGCATGGTCGCACTCCCAGTGGACAGGAGCTCCTGGGTGAATCGCGACGCCAGCCGGCGATCGGACCCTGGGCCCTGCAGGATCTTTGGCGGCGCGCCGATGCACTCGCGCCCCCATCCGCAGTGATTGAGCCACGCACTGTTGGCTGCAACGATCCCGAATGGCGGCTCGGAGTCAACCACAATCGTGAGGCACGGCGAGCGTCCGACGCGGAGGTGCAGCGAATCGGGCGCGATCTTGCGCGTTGGCGAGTGCCAGATCGACCCGTGCGCGTCGGTGCTCGACGCGGCCGCTTTCGCCGCGGCCCAGGCGTCGACTGCGGCTTGCATGATGAAGAACAGAGCCGAAGAACAGAGCCGATGAGAAGATGGTCGACAGAGCGCTCTGCGTGACGTGTTCCTTGTTACCTCGGGCGGTCCCCTACCAAACCAACCACACGTGTCCCTCGCTTGCGCGCGGGCGCGTCAACTGATTTTCATTGACCGACGCCTGTCGCGACTCGCGAGCACCCTTAGACAGAGGGAGGGGACACCTGAGCGCGTGTTTGCGTCCTCCGAGGGCGGCGATTAATTAGGAAAGCGCACTGCAAACAGCTTTACCCGAGTGGTCCAAGAATACAGCTACCAAACAGCTTTACGTACGGGACAACCAACAAGAAAAGAACGGCGTGAACATAACTGGTACTGGTGTGAGACTGTAGGAATTCGATCGCGCCGTCCCTCCGTCGGCCGCGCTCCGCGCCGCCCGCCGCGTGCTCGTCGTGCCGCGCCTGCAGGTCGGTGAGCAGCGCCGTCGTGTGCTCGTGCGACTGCGTGAGCGTCGCCAGCTGGGCCGCCGCGTGCTCGTACGCGCGCGCCATGACGGACGATTTTCTTAAACGGTCTTAAAAGAGCTAAGAGGGACCCCCCGTGCCTGCAATCTCTTAAATGGCAATTTAAGCCCCCAAACCTCCTCATTTCTTAAAAGCTCTTAAAAAATCCAAGAGAGGGGTCGGGGGGCGGGAGAATCCAAAAAAGCCGTCCAAAAAGCCACAAAAAGCCAGAAATCCGGCCCTCAGAACCCTTGGGATCCCCTAAGCGTATAATACGCACAAATAGCACGTCTCTATAGAGCCGTACACGGCTTTCCTTGTCAATCCGCGTTTTTGGTAAGGGCTAGTTCCATTTCACTGTGGCACAGCGCGCGTTACTGTTGTGGCCTAAAGTCTGGGCAGGTTGTGAGGATCACGATGCCGGCGTGAACACGACTAACTGACGGATCCGCTCCTGACAGTCGCACGCGCCGCGCTGCGGCGCGTGCGACTGTCTTTGTTTGAAGTTAAAAGTCGAATCAGAGCGCCGTCGGCGCTGATCCTCGTTTTCCTCCCACGGACCGCCCGTCCGGGACCGCTCCGGGACGCACGCCGGCGAAGCACCATCAAGCTGCTGTACGGCCCCGGAATCGCCTTCCCAGGCTTAGCTAGACTGAGAGATATTGTGGACATGATTGGTCTCTAGAAATATACACTGACACTGAACCTCCAAGAGCTCGTCCCGGTCCGTCACGGCCATCCTCGGCCTCCGGAGGGCCCCCGGCCGCGGCGCGGCGCGGCGGAGTCACAAATCCGACGGCAGAGCACCGGGACGCGGTCGGGCGATCTGAGGCCCAACTAGGCGAATGCACATTGCCCATCCAGGGCTATCACCTGGACTTATCAACAGGCGCCTGCGGCGCCGTACTCAGGAGCTGCTGCTCCTGCTGCTCCAACCTGTTCACACTTTCGTACGAGTACATGTTACAAAACCTTGATTTGACCATTTGCGCCAGTTGGTACCTCTCGGTGCCTTCCAGAGGCAGCTGCGACCCCGCCGAGTGGACGGGCGCACACGGCAGGTGGCGCGGTGTGCGCCCGTCTACTCGGCGGGATCGCAGCTGCCTCTGCGCGTCCTGGAGATGTACCAAATCGTCGCCGCCGGAGACGACTCGACGCCGCTGAGATCGGAGATCAAGCTCTGACAGGTCGCACGTCGCTCCTTTGACGCCGACGTGACTCACCCGTGCAGATCACATCAGGACACGGTCTCGACACGCTCGGTACGACGCCTGCGACCCGTCTTGGGTCAGGTGGCACGACGCTCATCGCGCCTGCCAGCGCTGCCGTGCAGGTTGCCACGACGAGGTCGAGCACGCTTCTATACGCTCGCCCAGCCTTCCTTTCCATCCCATTAGGCAGCCTGGGAACGGTGGCGGTCAGAGGCAAAGCCTGCGAGGGGTGGTGGAACCACATGTCACGGCTACCGCCGGCTCGACCCCACGATAGCCTCCGGAGGCTGACTTTGAGGCACAATCATCGGACGACGTCGGCGAGTTGAGTCGCGCTCGCGGTAGCCAGATGACCTCTCATACTAGTATCATCGGCCATGGCCGCAGGAAGCGCGGGGGATTCCGCTGGGAGCAACACGGAGCTCCGTTGGACGCGTTTTCAAGATTAGCGTGTCAGAGTGAATTGGAACTAGCCAAGAAGATCGCAATGTTCCCATCTGGTGCTCTCTTTTCTGACATTTTTAAAGCCGTAACTCATAACGCCAAGGTGCGTGTCCTTCACCTCGCCGCGTGTCGTACACACGTGCGCGCACACACCGTGTGTCGTTCCTCTTGGATGCGTCGCTTGATGACTTGGGGGACTCGGCCCTTGCGACTGGTCCGCCTCCCCGCCCTCCACCCCCCGCCCCTCTCACTCTCCGCCATCGCCAAGCGTCTACCCCGATGCCAACCCCCCCCCTTCTATCCGTTCTGAAGGCTTGATTGACGGTCTGATGCGACCGACGGCTGGTCGGTCGAGTGCGCTGTCTCGGCAGCGCCGCAGTCCGCTCGAGCTCGGGCGAGAGATCCCCCCGAGATCGCGCGAGATCACGACTGGCTCAGCAGCGCCGCCGTCCGTTCGAGCAGAGCGCCCGGCAGCTTGACAGCGCGCGGCGTGCAAGCGCGGCGGCGGTCGAGGTAGCCCGAGAGCGCGCGGAGGAGCGTCGCCTGATGAGACACGCCCAGGACGTGTCACGGCCGTGTCCGTGCCGCGATGCAACGGGCGCGTCGCGCCGCAAGCGTGAGAGACATGCCCAAACCTCGGCTCCTCTCGGCTCCTCTCGGCTCCTCTCGGCTCCTCTCGGCTCCTCTCGGCCCCTTTCGGCTCCTCTCTGCGCATCTCTGCGCATCTCTGCGCATCTCTGCGCATCTCTGCGCATCTCGGCGCATCTCGGCTGCCTCTCGCCTGCGCCGGCTTGAGCGGGGCGCCGGGCGGGGCGCGGCTTGCCTCGCGCACC